GCGATTTGGTGAGTGGCAGATTAGCGATATTGGTAATAAATATTTTGGTGCCGTTACGTGGATTCTATTTGGTATTACCGTGCTGTACATTCCCAGTACTGAGTTTTGGACCATTTAATGAGAGTACAATAAGTTTTCTTTGGCTGTAAGGAACATAGTAAGAACTGGCAAAGATGCATGGCTGGTGTGTGTCCTTCTATGCGAGAGGTTCCAAGTTCGATTCACATGTTTGACCTCAAATTCTTACAGCGACTCTTTTCCTCTCACCAAGAAGCTTTAAATTCGCTTAAAACGGAGCGCTGATGGAGAACGGAGGGTAATAGATAAACACACCGTCAGCCTCAACAGTTAGTTAGATGATCACTATTTCTAACTGCCAACGTAAAATGCGGAAGTTCACTATTTACCTTGGTTTCTGTTGCTGTAGATTCGTGATATTAGTGCTGGTTATATGAGATGCCATGGCCTGGAGTTTTATTAGTAACTTACCGCTTTTTGTAAATTTGAGTTAGTTGGTGTCTCAACAGAGTTGATTGCTAAGAGTAATTTTACTTAATACGTGAAAAAGGAATAAGACTACTACTCGCCATTATGCACTACTGACATTCCATTGTTTACTTGTCGCTAGATTAGCGAGGTCTTGGGCTCCTGACATTAGACGATAATATTTGTTTCAAGAGTTTAGTAAAATTCGCAAGGTATTTCTAAGAGGAGTACTGAGAATTTCTTCACAAATTCTACACTCGCGGTAGAAAGTGACAGAATAAGAGGATATTGTGAAATTTCTAAATGGGTTAGAGGGTCGGAAGGGGGGGAGGGGTTAGCATGGGGAGGTATAAGAAGTCGTTTGCATGAGCCCCAATTTAAACTTTTTTTTAATGTTCTCCCTTTTAAGAAGGATTTAAGAGTTAAAATACCTGGCTTTCTAATTCTTAACCTCCTGTTCTAAAATTTATTTTGCTACTGATGCGCTGTCAGATGTTAGTGCACTCAAAGTGTCTGAAGTCTCCCGCTGCCAGTTTTTCTCGGCAAAATTACAAGCTAGTCAATATAAAAGGAACAACTATTGTACCAGTAAGAAATTTGCCTTAGTACTCTATTTCTCAAGTTGGTTTTTGAAGCTCCCGGTGAAGCTTTGCGTTTTTCCGAAAATTCGCGGCTCATTTGCCCTCGCGCCAGTGAGGCTATAAGATGAACTTATGTGCGATTCTCAAAGTTTCTGTTTTCATCAGACGAGTCTTCTTTATCCTAATCCGCTATTTAGACCTCCAGAAAGGCGTGTGTTGCATTAATCAGAAAGAAATCAATCTTAAAACAGACTCTTCGAAGATGGACAAACATGCGATATGGATCACGCAACGCACTCTAAGTTATTGGGTTAATAATTAAAAATGTTGATTTTTTAACGCAGGGGACCGAAACATTTCGAAACCAATTACGAACCAGGCGTGCATTGAGCCGGGCAGCCCAGTTAATAAGCATGATTGACCATATTGAAATTAAAGCGTATGATAGGGATGATTGACTTCCTCGCAATCTTGACCTCGTCGAAATATTTTTCCGTCCCGCCCTAACTCCGTAATTAATTATAAGTACAAAATAAATATCACGGTTGGCGAGATACGACACTGATTTGAGAAAGAGGTTTAAAATAAATGCTCGGCTGATGAAGCTAAGTATGACATTATTCAGATAATCTCCTTTGATTTTTTTACTTGGTTCTGACATGTAACAACAGTTTTCTTAGTTTTTTTCGATTATAGATTATCGTTGCAGGGCAAAGTTCACATTGCTGAAGAACTCTGCATGGTTACAAAGTAGTTTTCAGTCCAGCTGGGGCTTGGACAAACTGCACTTTTTGTAATTATCATCCCTAGAAACTAAGAATTATTAGAACCAAAACATTTTTATGAACAATTTATAAATTGCTTTACCTTGAAAAATAACAAGGCCAGGATTGTCTCTGTTTTCAAAATTTTGTAGTTTGAAATTTGGGAGAACACCGAGTTTGCAAAAGCCAGTTTTGTTCGTTTCTGCCCTCAGGATCTTTCATTATCCAACAATTAAGTAGTGGGTATCACTGGTTGGCATGAGATTGCGATCCAATCAGATTACTTTAGACACGAAGTTCACCCCTTGAGTTTTAAGTAGAAATATAAAACTATCTCTAGAAATCCACTGTTCACTGAAATTTAGTGCCCTGTAAGGAAATGTAGAATTAAAGTAAAGTCCCTAAACATAAGACTGCATGAAAAATCTAAATGATTTCAGGCTGGGGAAAAACTGGCTGTTAGCCTTAATACTGAATGGTAAATTGCTCTTGTAAATTGGTTATGTATTGCAGACCATGACGTGGATTTTTGTTTGGTAATACCGCGCTCATAATATCGTCACTAAGCGCTCCCTATACTGACTCTTCGGCAGTTTAATCAGGGTAAACGAACTATATTGTGATATCGAAGCGGTAGTAGTTAGTGATATTAATAAGTAGTATATTGAATTTTGTGGCATGATACTGTATTTATATCGATACCAACTTCCTCACTTGGACCACTTGTTGATCAAGTTTTGGAAAGTTAGAGTTATCATTTCAGTAGGAAAACACTTACATACGCCAGTGTGTACGTGTTTCAATTTAGCGACTACTTAAGTTTACATAACAAATAAAAAGTTATTCCGTACGCAACTATCAAATATCAAGCTTCTCTTCCGTTGCCTCTATACTTTCACAATACACTGTTCCATATTGCTCCCAGTCTCCGCTAACAAATTTAGAACTGTAACTCCGCAACAATTTCGAACTCACTAATCTGCTCTCGAAATTGTGACAAATTTCAAAACCTATCACAGCATGATACTTTTTGGAAATGGCAGATGTGGTGTAGTTATTTTGTCTCGTCTTATTTTCGCTCTTAGGATGGGCTGGGAATCGCTCTCGTCGCACTCGTTTGCTGAAGCAAGATTAATAACATGTAAGACCTTATAAGAAACCGGAGGAGAGGATCTGTCCTATCTGTAAAAAAGACGTAGAAGACGAAATACACTTTTTAACTCTGTGCCCTGTGTATCAAGAAAAAAAGAAGTACTTTATTTGAATGCTTAAACAAAGAATACCGAATATCAGTAAACATAATGGCACCAGATGATGTTTTTCTGTTGTTAATAAACCCTCCGAGCAAGAACAAACCAGTGTAAAAGTTAATTGCAAAATACGTATTCGACTGCTATGAGGCGAAAAGAAGATCATTAGTTGTTTAGGTTAACATTGATTATAGTTCCACTAGTGTGCAATTTGTGTTATGATTTTAAATTATTTGGATAAAGTCGATATACATAGGACTGTATAAGACTCCAAATAAAACATTGTCTTGTCTTGTCTTGTCTTGTACAGCCCGGGGGTAAGGACTAGGCATATGAAAGGAGTGGGGAAGCTCGTCGTCTCGCTGAGGGGTGTAAATTTCGGATTTTGGTCTCACTGAGGGTGTTCTGGGCAAAACACCATCATAATTAGCCATGAAGGTCTCGTTTAGGGTTGCACGCGAAAAAATATAAAAAAAAATGTATTGTCTGTGTTTTAACATGGTCTCTTTTAGGGGTCAAAAAAGCTTGGGCCACGCCCAGATCAGTCTCCTTTAGGGGTTTAATTCAAAATTTCCGACGATCATCCCCACCCCTTTCGTATGCGGTGTCCCCCTCCTCGGGATGTACAGGCAGTCTGGCATAAATATGGCTACGAGCATGACGTCTATTTGTCTCAAATATTACTTGCTAACCTCAAAAAAAAAAAAAAGAAACTACAAGTGTTTGATGTTGAGTTCAGCAAAGGTGGAGCACAAGAAAAACCGCTCCTAGGAAAAACGTATAAAATTAGCCTGTTGTTGGGCTGGAGCGGGGGAGATTTGGGTTAGGAGAGTGCGCTCCCGCGAATGCTGAGGAGGCCTTGAAGATATGTCATTTCCAGTGAACCCAAACAACTGAGAAATGAATTACAAATAACCAAGAAAATGCTGGATATAAAATAACATTATCTGTGTTGCAATTTATAATATTTGGTTTATTATTGCTTTCTCGCTCTTTTATTTTGTATTCCTTGTTGTAAAGAAGCACAAGCCATGCTACATGATTTGCTACTTTGAAATATGGCTATCAGTGCACACTCACTAAGTTAACAAAAACTTGTCGAAAGTTAGTTATGTATACTTAATAATATTTGTCCATACACTGTTTTTTGCGAATTTTCTTTTCCTGTATTGAGTAGAACCTAATGTATGTGAGTGATTTAAAGATGTTTTTGTGTTCATTTCATTGGGGAAACAGTCTGCACAAAATATGAGATTTATTCTTAAAGTGATATTACTTTGACCCGTGAAACAGTATCTAACGATAAGTGCCAAATGGTAACAAGTAAACAAAAGAAAACAATTTAAAAAATTATAGTGCAATGAAATTCAGTGGTCTACTATCCACTTCACGGGTAAAGTAATTATCACTCTTTTGACTGTCAGCTTTTAAATTTGTGGCTTGAAGGTTATTTTGGATCGACGGTATTTGCTAGCTGCCTTTAAATCTGCTGGAAGGCGTGGTTATACTTTATAGCAAAGCGTTTCTGCAATGAAATCAAATTTATGAAGATTTGACAACAAAACCCGTGGCCATCACTATACTGAGTTCTCTGACTCTCCGCACTAGAAATAACGATTTTTAGCTAAACTAAGGTAATCTGAATTTCGTGATTTTTGCCATTTTTCGAAGCATTTTATTTGTTATTGGACTTACAACGCAATATTGGGTTGCACCGGTATTGTTACAGTAATTTTTACTTACATTTGAGGCACTGAGGAAAAACCAAAAATAGCACACCCCATACGCAAATAACAGCGTAACGAAACTATAAATTAAAAAGCCACCTGCGCCAAAGTTCACTCTGAGTTTTCCATCTCACCAGTCAGTCGTAACGTTCGTTGCTGTTGCTGTTACGTTCGTTGCAGTTACAGGCCATCATGAAGCCGTCTTTTGCAGTGATCGCTCTTCTCGTCTGTTTCCTTGGTGTTCTGATGACAACTGTTTCGTCAAATGGGCCATTCGAATTGGCATCCGATAACCAGGAAGATGAAAGCAAATTACGTGTCTCTGAAGAAGCCTTAGAAGGTGACGGAATTGATCAAGAAGACGAAGAAGAAGAAAGTGAAGATGTTGATGACGAAAATGAAGTGGATAATTCTGAAAGGTATTTTTTATTATTATTTTACAAGCCACTCCCTGCACTATCGACCCTATAGTTGAGCTAAGTTAAATTACAGTTTTCAGTAGGAATTGTCTACATCTTATAGGACAAAATTGGTTCGTGATAAAAGACAAAATGGACATAACGAATTACCAATATTAAAATTTCAAAATGTTTCTTTGGTTTCAGTGTAAACGTTATACCAGAAGCTGACCCAGTGGCTTGGGGACGTTACGGCCGTAGGGGCCGTAACGGTCGTAACCGTCGTTATGGCCGCTTCAACAGGTACCGGTCTCGTTATCGTCGCCGATACCGTGGGTACCGTGGCTACCGTGGCTAAGATTATTTTGGAAAGAAGAAAGCAGCCAAAGCATTTCGCTCCCACCTAGCTGCTCTTTGAAGGTCTTATATCAGAAGTAAACCGTAAAGTAACTGTAAATCGAAGAAAGAAAATTGCATGTAACTTAAGTATTTTGTAACATATTTCTGGTGACTGAAATAAAAAAATTTAATGACCAGAACAGCATATTTTTTTGAACAATTTAATGGGAAGATGTCTTGAAATGGGCGGGTTGGCAAATAACATCTGAACGGTAGGGATCTGACTGGTTTGCCAAACCACATTCCTTTCCAAACCAATCATAGCGTTGCTTTTTTTGGTGCAACTCGAGCAATTCCGTTGGCAACAGGCATATATTTATTAAGCTACTAGCAGGTTTCGGGAAATCGATAAACTATCGGGCAGCTAGATTGCTTTTGTTTGATACAACTCAAAGAGTAGGCTGAAAAAACAGCCGACATTTCGCGACGCTTCCACTGGTGCACGAAATGACGGCTGAGAAACGAGCGCAGAAATTCCACACTGATGACGCGTCACTACACAGATCTGGGTAGTACTTCTAATTGGTCGTCCGATCCCGGGTGGGAAATTTGCTTCAGCCAATCAGAGGCACAACCCATATCTGGGTAGTGACACGTCATAAGTATAGAATTTCTGAGCTTGTTTGTGAGGCGTCATTTCGCTGGCGTTGCGAAATTTCGGCTGTTTCCTCAGGCTATTCAAAGAAATTAAAACATCCAAAACAGTCAATTTATAATACGTGCGTTCAAAACAACAAATCAGATTTACTGTCCTTTCAGCTATAGATAAGATCTTGAAGCGGATTGTAACTAAACAACTAGGGGACCGTCTATAAAAGACCCTGAGAGCCTACGGTATGACTCTCAGCTGTGAGACTACACGAAGTATTAATACAATTGATCACTGGAGGATGGCGAGAGACAACAAACAGCTTGTTGAAACTTAAAAAACGGATATGCCTAAGACATTCGACTCCATAAATCCAGCTCTGTTACGTAGGAGTATGCGATCGTTGTAACAAAGTGAAAGTGGCATCTCTGGCTATACTCACACTATAACGGATAGCTTTTGCGCATGCACCAAAACCACACGGCTTCTGTTCACACATAAGAACGCTGATTTCTGCGCGATATCTACGGGGGAAAGCTGCCCAGGCCCGCTCCGAACCCTAAAATGAAGATTCATATATGGGATAAGTGTCCATACTATGCCGCCTGAACAGCTTTTCGTGGCGGCCTATTTTTTTAAAGCTGATCATCAGAATCTGTGCTGTCCAGACTATTATACTACTACATGAGAAATTTCTGTTATTTGATTGGCTTAGAGCAGTAGTATTTCAACTTAATTTGAAATACCTACATGTGAAAATTAGAAACCTTTTTCGGGTAGTAGTATAAACAAATAATAGCATGATTTAGACGTGATATTTGGCGTAAATACCACTCGTGATATTTCAAAATTGTCTAAAATTTCACTCGCTTAACAGCTCTGGAAATTACGTATAACAATTTTGAAATATCACTTGTGGTATTTATGCCAAATATCATCACTACAAATCACGCTATTACCTCTCGCATTAAATTTGGGTTTTCAAAAAGTTCATTAGCTGAGCAGTAGCTGAGATGTTTGAATGCAGCCTTCATTTATAGTTTTTTCAAGGTGCTGTTGAGAATTGGAAGAATGGTGTCGTCAGTAAATGTTTCTAAGCAATTAGGCACGTCACTAAGCAATTGGGCATGTCACTTACGTATACTGTAAAGCAATAAAATCTGACCTGCTTTCTTCTCTTCAACTGGATTTTGAGCTAGTTTGACTCTAAATGCTGTTTCTGGATTAAATGCCACTAAACGCCAGGTTAAAGGTACAATGTAGAAAACCTTTGATTCTGGGAACTTTTTACAATCCCGATGGTAGTATCAGTAACCTAAACGAGCTGGAACTCTAACCTCTCAAAACTGGCCCACAAAAGCTTAACAGCAATCATAATGACATTATTCTGGCAGCAGATTTCATTTCAGCTCACTTCGTACCAAATATCAGGGTATTTTAGTATTTAAACCCAACGAGAATATTGTTCAAAACCAGTTAAACATATATAGCATTGTTAGACGTATTTTAGTATTTAAACGGTAGATTTAGCCATATTTTTATCCTCTAAAAAATTTTCATCTGTTCGGGGTCTAGTGATCCGTTAAAAAAAATTATAGGGATCAAAACTTTTTAATTACCTTTTCGAAAATTTTAGCCAGAAAAAGGCTCCCGAAAATTCTAGGTGACCTTTTTAGGGTAAAGATCCGTTAAAAATGGGCAATTATGCTATTTTTTAGATGTTCGAAAATCCTATGAGAGGCAACAAGCAATAAATTTTACAAAATATGTTTCGAAAATTCTAGATCTCAAGTCGTCTTCCGAACAGATATTTTCCGAAAAGTGACGTTAGGTGCCCCTGAGATCTTAATTGGAAGGATAACTGTGCCACAGAAGGCCCTCAATCTTATTCTGCTGCAAACTGTCTCTTGGACATTAAACAAAAATTTGGCCTTAAACAACTGGTAAATTCACCAACCAGAATGCAGAATATTACTACTGATGCCTCTGTGGTTAAGAAACTGCCAGGTAACTGCTGTTATAAGTGATTAGGATATGGTACTCTTCAATCTTCTGGTATAACCTGCAAGGAAAAGGTTGCAGGAGCGGAAAGTCTTCATTAGGAGCAAAGCTGATGTAGCGAAAATCAAACTAGACATGTCAACTTTTCAGCGTTACTTTCTCTCATACCTGTCGAACAACAGGGGGAAAAATTTGAATCCGCTATGTTGACCACGTTACAAAACAACGTTCCTAACAAAGTAACCTTAAGTCGTTATACGGTTTATATCATCTCACCGTCGCCTTTGTTCGAAGAAACACAAGCTATACAACAGAGAAAAAAAAATTAATATCCTAATAATTGGGCTAACTTAAATGTCCCTAGAAAGGCTCTGCTCTAAGCGTTAAAATCTCAGGACCAGTATACATCTGAGTTCCTCGTAGATGCCCGTAAAACCAGTCCTAAAGCTTTTTGGACCCATATTTAAAAGAAAGTAAGGAACAAAGAGGTTATAGACTGACTTATATGGAGATAACAAATAAATAACATCTATAATACCACCAACAGGATGTTAGGCTAGAAGAAATTTCTGGTGTGGCCTGTTCCAGCCGTTCAGATCGTGGGGACAGCTCAAAGAGATGTGGACAGAAAAAAAAACTTCGAGGAGATGGAACAGGGGTTCTCAAGGGGTTTAGGCCTAGGTCAAAAGTGTCTTCGGGGTATATGATTGATTGGCAATATCTCTCGCTAGGAGACCTAGAACTACAAAAAAAATGAAATTTTCTCCAAAAGTAAATCTTGAGGTCCTCTTGTTCCTGAAAATTTGATTGGGGTCACGTGACATGTCACGTGTCACCGCCGCCTGGTTAGCTCAGTTGGGAGAGCGCCGGTCTGCCGAGCAGGAGGTCGCGGGTTTAAACCCAGGCCGGACTAGTCCAGTCAAATTGTGGTTTAGCATCAAACTAATTGCAACAGAATTTTTTTCAACGCCATTTAATTCTTGGATGGCTTTGTAACAACATACTAAAAATCCGCCAAAATCGGTTCGGTGAAACATGAGAAAAATTGGTAATAAAGGTTTTCAACTTTCACCACAGGAATCCCAATTTCAGGAAGATCACAAATTCAGATAAAACATTTGATAATTGTTTTTTTCCTCAAGAATTTTCGATACACCATCGCTAAAGTATTTTGGGTAGTTTTGGTTTAAAAACGCCGACTAAATGTGTGAGAAACACCTGGGTCAGTGTTTCGTCTTGACGGCTTTGCACAGGTTACCTAGCCTCACCTTCTGTTTTCCAAGCTGTAATTTTTTTTTCTATGACGGTATTTAAAAGGGAAATTATTAGTCAGTCTGTATTAACATGATTAAAAATTAGTAATTCTATTCTTTTTTTTTTTTGGGGGCAATATCAGAAATGCAGAAAGCATTGTTAGTTTTAGAGGCTTGTAATTTTTATATATCCTGCAGCATGGAATCAAATTTAGTCGCTGACTTGTGGTGAACAGTTTGATTTGATATTTTGTTCACCTTCAGTTAGCTACTAAATTTGCATCCATGCTGCAGGATACGTACAACTAAATGTGTGCAACGGACGATAGCTTTGTATCAGTACAAACTGTTTAACCTATTCCCATTTTCTGTAATCGAGTGTTGTGAGGTAGTTATGATCAAAATCAGGGATTCTTTTTTTTTTGTCACAACATGCGCAACCTCCTTTAGGATTATGACTCCATACTTTACAACGTGAGTGAATAAATATTCTGCTAAGGACTCTGTTATTTGGTTTTTGCTAGATCATAACGCCTTGCGCTTTTCATTATACCTGGCCGAATCTGTTCTAAAGGAAATCCAGAAAACCAAAAATGCAACGCCGTGTGATTGTTCTCTTTTTTATCTTTTTCTTGTAGCGAGGCTCAGATCTAGTTTAGTGTATCTGTGTGTTTAATTAGTATTTTCTGCGGCAGCTCTTCATTTCTTGGTAAGATGAATAAGATTACTTGCTCTGTGGTCTAAAGGCATTTGTATTCCCTCCTTGATTTTCTTTTGTGAGAACTGGCAACCCTGAACCTCGACCAATTTTTTTTTCGTCCATTGGCAAATGAAGACCTGTTTTTTCTATAACAATCTGAAAATAATTGCAGTGGTGAATGAAGGCGCGAAAGTACTGGACATATGTACGAAATTAATGGGCTTGCCTGACTTAGCTTCTGATGTGTCACCTCTTTTTGCGGAACCCATGTTTCTCTTCGGATGAGCGTTGTGTAACACTTCAACTTACTGCAAGTTAACCTTCTGACTGAATTGCGCGAATTATGCTCTGCGTGGGAAATTTCCATTACTCCAGAGACTCTTACAAGATATTTTTATACGCATTGTTTTGGCTAC